AGAAAAGTCGATTTATATTTTGAAATTCAATGAAATTGAAGAATAAAAGAAATTGTGTTTTTGTCCATTACACTGGTTTACAGTGAAATTGTCAATCGAACAAAACATTTTGTAATAAATATAATAAATGAGGTATCATTGGAAAGGTTATTAAATTACCTTTCGATCCATAGGTCACAGAATAAAATTCAATGAAAATTGAGAAAGTTACAGTCGATTAAAAATCAAATTTCATGCCAATTTTAATGATTTTTAGACATTTGAGTAACTTATACTATTTCTTTCTACATCAAACAGGCAAGAATGTTCAGGTTTTAATTTTTTTATTGATAGACTATATGATTACAAAAATTTTGAGCCCTTGTGGACCTCGATTGGATTAAAAATGACAATTCTACACTAAATTTAGTGAACGAAACTACTTTCTTCATTTTTAGTATCCCTTAAACACTTGCAGCAAAAATTCAAGTAATAAAATTTAGTTAAGCGCTAAAGTTACTAAAATCACTAATCAAGGGTTTCTGAAGTCGTAGATTTCGAATGCAATGTTAGTTTTACAAATTTCAAAATGGCGGATCCAATATGGCGGACAACTTTTTAAAAATCGATGAAAATCGTCTTAAATTTGTTACTCGGGAGTTTTCGGGGTCGCTGATTACGAATCCGGTGTCAGATTTCAAAAATTGAAAATGATGGATTCATAATGGTGAACAAGGTTTTTATAAATCCATCGAATGCGCACCTATTGGATCCCCCATTTTTAATTTTTAAAATCTGACATCGGATTCGTGATCAGCGACCCCGAAAACCCCCGAGTAACGAACTTAAGACGACTTTCATCGATTTTTAAAAACTTGTCCGCCATATTGGATCCGCCATTTTGAAATTTCTAAAACTAACATTGCATTCGAAATCTACGACTTCAGAAACCCTTGATTAGTGATTTTAGTAACTTTAGCGCTTAACTAAATTTTATTACTTGAATTTTTGCTGCAAATGTTTAAGGGGATACTAAAAATGAAGAAAGTAGTTTCGTTCACTAAATTTAGTGTAGAATTGTCATTTTTAATCCAATCGAGGTCCACAAGGGCTCAAAATTTTTTTAATCATATAGTCTATCAATAAAAAAATTAAAACCTAAACATTTTTTCCTGTTTGATGTAGAAAAAAAAAGTAGAAGTTACTCAAATGTCTAAAAATCATCAAAATTGTCATGAAATTTGATCTTTAATCGACAGTAACTCTCTCAATTTTTGTTGAATTTTATTCTGTGAGCTATTGATCGAAAGGTAATTTAATAACCTTTCCAATGATACCTCATTTATTATATTTTGACAAGCTAATTTTCCTACAGGTAAGTTTAAGTGACGTCGCACCTCGAAAATGTAAAATTTAAAGCTACAGAAAAACTGCACGAGAGAAAAAAATTAAAACTACGATTTTCTTACTCAAAAAACACCTACTATTCGAAAAAAAATGTTTTATTCGATCGACAAAAAAAAGTTAATAATTTGTAAACTTGTGTTATTATTAAAAATGAAAGTCATACAAAAAAATTTTAATTACAAAAAAATTGCGCATTTTTATACTCTATATGGTAGTATGTTTTAAAATTAAAAATTTCTACTTTTATTTTTTATCATTTTTTGACGGCTTGACTGGCTTGAATTTTTCAGTTCAAGCGCAGATCGAGTTATTACCCCAGGAGCTCAATCTTTTTAAGAAATTCAATTATTTTCGAAAAATTATATTACAATAATATTTTAAAAACTTATTCTTAGATGTGTTTTATCATAATTTTTTAATTATTTAATTATGTTTTTAATTTTAAAATATTCAATTATTTTCGACTTAATGACTTAAGAAAAAAACATGAACAGTTACATTATAAAAAATCGAGTTTTATATTTAAATAATTGAATTATTCTAGAAGAACTTTTGGAAAATTATTTAAAATAATTGATTCAGAGCTGAAGTTTAGTTGAAAATTGTAGAAAATAATTGAATTCAGGTGCATGGTTAATATTGTAGTTTTTAGAAATTATTAAAATTCATAAATTTTACTCATTTTCCGTAAACTTGTATATGAGGCATTTTACGTGAAATGTCCTAAGTTGAAATTTCAACTTCTTGAAAAAAATTGAAACTCGAGGAATTTGTTGTTCTATCAAGTAGAAATGTGACCCAATAAATATTTTTGATTTTTTCGAAAAATTGGAGGGGGTAGAGGGGGGTAAATTTGACCAATTTTGTCAACATCGGCTACTTTGTGAATTTTTTCTGAACATACTTGTAATGGGAAAAATTTTTTAGAATATGTTTCTGAAAGGTTTTTTCGTCCTCTTTCCAATGGTGTATTTTATTTTTTAATATTTTAAAAATTTACCCTAATTTTTGATAATTTATGTTTAATTTTCAATTTCCCAAAAATCGGTCCGTTTTTTTGAAAATAAATTATTGCAAACGAAAGCTGAGGTTTTTTCCTATCAGCATGTAAATTTTCAGAATGCCCTTTTTTTCCATGACTTTTCCAGGTTTTCCAGACCCTTTTTTAAAAAATTCCAGACCCAAATGTAAAACTGTTTTAATCAAGTTTTAGCTAGTTTGGACGAAAAATACAATTAAATTACCAGTTAAATAATTCATTAATTTTGTAAATATTAAAAATTAATTCTTTATTTTAAAATAAACCAAAAAAATAGAGAAAATTAAAGTTACTCAAAATTTTTATTCTGTTTAGAATTTTTTACAATTAACAAACGAGGATTCTAAACATCTAAGTACAAAATATTTTGATTTATAAAATGCTTTTAAAAGCCAACATTTTTTTAAAGTTATGTCTTAAAACTATAGTACATAAATACAAAAGCTATTAATTTTTCTTAAGTCTGGTCAGATCTGATAAATTATTATAGCTTGTAGACTTTCATGAGAAAGTTCAACTTTGTAACAAAAATAAACTCTAATTATTATGATAGAGTTAATACTGAATATTCAATTATTAAAAAGTAATAAAGCGTTTAAAATGAAACATCAATAAATATACATTTCTTATTGATTATTCTTAAAATAATTTAAATTCGTTTACTTTAATTGCAACGATAGAGTTAGTATGTTATCATCGATTGAATTATTTTGGTTTTTGTATTCAAGCGCGAGTTTTCTTTTTTGTTCCTGAAGCTCTATTAATTTTTCATTCAATTGCTTTTTTTCGAAGCTCTTTTCACGTGCAGCACATGCAACATTTTTCCTTCTCAAGTGCAGCAGCATATTCTCTTCGAGAAGAAAGCACTCTGTCTATCATTTTCTGCGAAATGTTAACTTTTTGTATACCGCCCTCCGCTACAACACCATCGTAAACTTGTCGACGAGTAACCAGCGAATTTTTGTTTTGATTTTCAACTTCCATTTGTCTATTCACGCTAAAACCTCTTTCGACAAACGCATTTCCGTGGCTTATTAAAAGGACTAGTTTTATACATTTTTTCAGATCAGGTGAACAATTGTTGGAATTTAAAATCGTGATCCAGAAAGTGTCAAGGCGATCTGATCGTTTGTAATTATTGCATTCCTTCTTTACGCAACGCTTAGCAACCAGAGATACAAAATCTCTTTTAATTTTATCACATTCTTTCGAACTTAACCAATTTTTTTCTGAAAAACAAGAAAGTGTTGTATCTAATCGTCTACTTATTGTAGAAGAAGAATGATTCACAATCACAAAAGGATCGAAACACGATATTCCTTTGCACAAAGCGTATTTAAGAGGTGATTTGTCTAACAATTTCGTACACATAGTTTTCAGAAATTTTATACTATCGTTTTAAAAAAATAATATTTCTTTCTGTGATGCCGTTTTCGCCTTTTTAAGTTCTGCATTCACCGAAAAACTATCTTGAAATTGAATATTTGCAGCCACTTTCAAATTTTCTTGACAACTGAGATACTATCTTGGAAACATTCGTTGCTTTGTCGAGAACTTCTTTTTTAATAAAAATTTTCATTAAATCTATAATTATTTCCTCAATCGATGAAAAAAGCAATGGAGCCATTGGTTTTTCTGTTTGAAACTCCTTTAAAAACGGTTCCAGAATTCCAGCTACGAATCCGAAAAAAGCGAGTTGAGTAGCAAGTAAGTTGTCCTCTAGAGAATTTTTTATGATCTGATAGCTCCCACATTTCATACTTTTTTCCTTTTTGTTTTTGCAAATTCCATCTACATAGCTTTTTGGATGAGGAAGGATTTTAATTGCTCTTTCAGCAGTTTCTTTGTTGCACAGCCATCTAACAGAACAAAATTTTAATGCAAACTCATCAGATCCTGAAAATCCCGTGTAATCTTGTCGTCTAGCAGAAGAATCCTTGAACAAACAGTATATTGCTCTGAGAAATTCGGCAAGTTTCCACTGTGTAGCCTTGGCACCTTCCTTGAACGCATTGTTATTGGTGTGCAAACCGCAAGTGCCCATAAATAAAAACTGGGGCAATTCCGGGGATTTGTTAGAAATCAATTCGTTTTCCAAGTATTTAATGAATTTTAGATTTACCCTTGGACCATCAAAGATTCAAGAGCTTTTTAAGCATGAATGGTACGAGTGCAGACAAAAAAGCCTTTAGAATATCAGCAGCGGTACAGTGACCGAGAAACAATGAACGATAATATCTAATACAAGTTTGGTCTGTATCCTCATCCCAATATCCAATTGCAAAATCCATTTGGGTACTTTTCAAACTTTTGTTGAAGCTTTCATCAAAATAGATGATGATTGCATCACTCGCACGGGCTTTGACTAGAAGGTTATCCAAGAAGTATGGAGAAAGACCATGGTTAATCACGTAAGATAGTTTTGTTCGACCTAATTGCATTCCAGCAGCTTGTGGGTTGTTAGGGAACAATGAACAAAACAGTTCTGTGCATTTTCCAGCAGTTGACATAGGCATATGCAACATAACTATTGCCATTGCCCACACAATTTCGGCTTTGATAACGTCTTGTTTTATCAAAAACTGTGACAGACCATGCGATTTCTTAGCAGGTGAAGCTCTCTCGATATTGTCCCTTCCAGATCTTGACTGATCTGCAGTTCTTCTTTCACTCTCGTGAATATCAGTAACGGCTTAAAAACATACCAATATTTAAATCACGATTTTTTGTAAATACAAATGTCAGAAAATTAACAAATATACCATTCGAAAGGTAGTAAATTTTTTTGGAAATTTTTTCAACACCTGCACATTTTTTAAAAATTGTAGAAAAATTTGAAACTTGAATATGTGTAATCATTCAAGTCTCATCTTTAATTTAAGACCAAAAAAGTTGAAAAATCTTATTCAGTTCGAGAGATATCATTATAAACGTCCGAGCATGTTTTTTGACAAATGCATTGAATTAGTCGATATTGAACGTTTTTCGGCTGAAAATACTCTGCCGTTTATAATGATATCTCGATAACCGATTTAAATTTTTCAACTTTTTTGGTCTTAAATTAAAAATGAGACTTGAATGATTACACCCATTCAAGTTAAAAATTTTTTCTACAATTTTTAAAAAATGTGCAAGAGTTGAAAAATTTCCAAAAAAATTTTATTTTTAAAATTTTTTTGTCAAATTTGCCGATTGCTGCAAACTTTGTATAAATTATAAAAATTTTCTGACATTTGTATTTACAAAAAAAATCGTGATTTAAAGTTTGGTATGTTTTTGGGCCGTGCGCCTGCAGTCGTACCGATATTTCCCGACGGTAGTGTATGTTTTAAAAATAAATTTTATTTTAAGATTATTTTATTTTATTTATTTTAAGTTGGTTTTCAAGGTAAACTTTTTATTGTTAATATTTAATCTCACGCCTCAAAAAAAAGATAAAAAATAAGTCAAAAGAGAAAAATAAAAAAATATAATTAATACCTGATTTTCATCAGTTGTTATTCTCGATTCTTCAGGAACGCCAAACATGCTAATGTTCAAGCTGCTATTAATGTCTAGCACCGCCTTTTTATGCTTTTTACCTGATATGTGACTGTCTAGTGCTCCTTTTCCCATATTACTAAGACCAAAATTAGTGTAGCAAATAGTACAATGAGCTGCATGAATATTGTCAGGAACTCGCTTGATACATTTTTCATAGAGAGGGTTAGTCAGCCAGTTGTCTTGAAAAGATGTCTTCTTTGTAGAAGGCATGGTAGTCTACTGATACAATTGTACAAATTATAGAAATGTTATATGGCATTGTTATATTAAGGATGTTTAATGAAGTAAAAGTCAAATATACTTTCACAGAAAAAAACCGAACTAGAAATAAGTCGCATATCAGGTTCATTTTCAGTAGGAGTGCTTCAAAATGAGCCTAATATACGATTCATTTTGAATTGACTTCATATTGCACAAAATACGCTATTCTGATTTTATAGTAATTACGCACATACATGTCTTATTATTTTTAAGTGTTTTGATTTATATTTTTTCATTTTTGTTGGTTTGTTAGAAATTCCACATCGTTAGACATCCTAAATTCGTTTCATAATCTTAAAAATCGCAATCATGCATTACACATTTTCATGCACCTCAAAACTTGATTGCAAGTCAATAGTATAGATATACATATTAAGTTTCTTATGATGCACTTACCTATTTTGTAGATTCACAGAACGAAAAAAATACTGCACATTTACTCTCATTAAAATTTGTCAACCGTCAAATGACTGCATTTTCGCTTTATTAGCATATTATTACACTTTATCAGTATTGGTAAAACCGACGTTTTCATAATCATCTGTACTCAAGCTCGATTTACAATATGTACTTTAGTCTTTACGCATGTAGAGACAGGAGGAATAACTCAAGGAGTGGGGGTGACGTAGGAAGTGAGGGCAATGAAGGAATATTCTATATTTAGGTAGTTGGTGCGGTAACCAAAAATGGTTTACTGCGCAAGTATATATAGAACTATAGTATAGCACGTATAGCAGAAGAGCAAGAAAAGCATAACAACGCAATGTATGATAGAGAGGTTATGAATAATGTAAAAGTGAAATTTAATTGTTATATATATTTCTGTAACAAATACGCTTCTACCGTTACCAAAGGAAAAAATTGGACCAATGGAAACGGAGATTTAGAAACGCACTTTAAGCGCTAAATTTTAAACCGAAAAGTTGTAATGTCAACTGGAAAATTTGAAATTGTTATAATTCAAATAGAGGGAATTAATTCTTAAGTACGAGATTTTATAAAATTCCCTGACAATTCCAGGTTTTCCATGACTCGAAAAAAATTCCATGACAATTCCAGGTTTTCCAGGTCTGTGGCCATCTTAACCCAATAATACATGATAAAAGTAAACATCAAAATATTAAATAAATAAAATAATTTTCCCTTTTATTTTGTGTTTATATCCAAGAGTGGGTTATGAAATACTTAATAAAACTTAAAACTAAATATTATGTTTAAAAATAACAATATAGCAATAAAAAATCTGAAATTCTCAAATTATTTTTGACCCATACAAAAAATGTAGAAGGATTACATTTTAATTTTCATTATTTTTTAATCAATATATTCTGCAAGCTGTAAGCTTGCAGAACATTTCTATGAAAATAAAAAAAATCGGACTTATAAATTTTTGACAGAAAGGAATTTAATTTCGTCCTCTAATTTCGCGTCATTCCTCTGACCTGTTTAATAATATTCAATATTTTTTAGAGATGTGCAAAAAGCTTGAATTTCCGAGCCGAGTCGAGCCGAAATTTTTTCGAGCAAAGCCGAGCTCAAGCCGGCTCGATGTATCGAGTACTCGAAATTTTCGAGTGACATCGAGTACTCGAAAAAATCAAGTACTCGGGTAAATTCGAGTACTCGAGTAAAATCGAGCACTCGAATGGATTCGAGTACTCGAATAGATTCGAGCTTTTAAATGACAAAAAAAACTATTAATAAGTAGAAAATTTCAAATTTATGCGAATTAAAGTCAATAAATCTTCAATTTCAAAGTGTATTTCAATTTGCTAATTATAATATATGCGAAAATTATATAATTTTTCTCTAGAACTCGAATTTACTTAAGAGCTCGAAAAAATTCGAGTACTCCAATGCACTCGAGTACTTGAAAAAATTCGAGCTTTTTGCACAGCTCGGCTCGAACTCTGCTCGAGCTGGAACTGATTAGGCTCGGCTTGGCTCGGCTCGAAAAATGAAAAGCTCGAAAAAGCTCGATCGAGCCTCCAGCTTCGAGCTTTTTGCACATCTCTAATATTTTTAATATAGGAGATATTTATTAACCCTCTGCCTACGCAAGTGACCGCTAATTTTGACGTTTTTATCAATTAATTACGAGAAGGTGGAATTGAAATGAATTAAATAAAAACTCACCCAATATAGAGTATTTTTTATGAACTTTCACGATTTATCACTTTTTTAATTTTTCCTTTAAATATACAAGAAATATTGAGTTGAAAGTACGCGATTTCTGAATTGTAGCATACTTTACAACTTAATAACTCTGTTAAAGAAAAATAAAAAAATTTGTCACTTTCACAACTTCTAAATAACAACGAAATCTATACACTCAAAAATATTCGTTTTGGTCCCGGGATTAATTTAAAAAATATAAAGGTTTAAAAATTGTACATTTTTTCAGGTTAAAACCACCGTCAACAGGGGTAATTATGGAACATCAGAGGTAAATATGGAACGCGTAATTCTTTTTTATGTAAAATTTTTGTGGTGAATTATTTTAATTTGGTTCTTGTTGTAAATAATAGTTTAATATATTGCCTACAAAGATACTCAGATGTTTTTATTTTTATTGTCATTGGCAACGAGAAAATAATTATTAAACATCGAAAAAGTGGAAAGGTTATTTCACAAAAGTGTAAAAATCTACTAATTTCTTTGAATTAAATTCGCGTTTAGTTTACTATTATTATCTATTATTATTTTACTCTGCAGTACTAAATAAAGTTTTCTTAATATACAGGCAAAGAAAATTTGTAATACTTGCTTTTATAATTAATTATAATAATTTGTTCTATAATTGCCCCAAATGCGAGGCAATTATGGAGCAATATTTATTTTTAAATAAGTCCGTCAAAAAAATTTTTTTTGTAAATGGAACTTGAAGGAAATCTTTAGAAGAATGTTTACAATATATTTGAATAGCTAATCAAATTTTTTTGTACACTTTAGATTTTTAGTGAAGAAGAAACTCAAAAAATCGCGTTTTTTTGTTTCATAATTACCCCTGTTGACGGTATTTATTTTCTTAAAATTAAAGTTGGCTTTTAATTTAAACACTATGATCGGAACGTGATTAACAACAAGAAACCAACTTTAATTTTAAAAAAATAAATAGTTATAACCCGAAAAAGTTTGCAATTTTTAAACCTTTATATTTTTAAATTAGTCCCAGGACCAAAACGAAAATTTTTGAGTGTATAGATTTCGTTGTGATTTAGAAGTTGTGAAAATGCTAAATTTCTTTATTCTTCTTTAACGGAGTTATTAAGTTGTAAAGTACGCAACAATTCAGAAATCGCGTATTTTCAACTCAATATTTCTTGTATATTTAAAGGAAAAATTAAAAAAGTGATAAGAAATCCTGAAAGTTCATCAAAAATACTCTATATTCGGTGAGTTTTTATTTAATTCAATAATTACACCTTCTCGTAATTAAGTGATAAAAACGTCAAAATTAGGTTATTTGGCGGATCTACTTTAAAAACATATTTTATCTATTATTTTTATATTTTTACTAGTTTTATCATTAAAGAATAATTAATCAACTAATTTTAAACATGAATCAATAAATCTTCTTGCACTTTTAAGAATTTTTCAATACTTTTTTAAATATTTTCTAATTGCTAAAAAAGTGCCATTGTTTCGCATCTTCTCCACTTTTCACTCATATTTTAAGAAAAGTAATAAATATTTTAATATAATTCTTTTCATTTTGTTCTTCAGAGATCATACAGATTCATTTCTAAAAGTATCAATTTTTTTTAATAATTTTCTCCATTTTGTTTAACTCGACCAATAAATAAAAAATTGATTTTGAAAATATGATGAGTTAAAATCTTTTAGTATCCTTTCTCTATTGCACCATCTCTCCAATTTTCTAAATATACCAGAAAATTTTCGACAGCCTATAGACAAATACAATACAATAAGTAATAAAATACAGAAAAAGAAAAATGATAAGATATTAAATATTTTAATTTACATTATATGCGCCATTGATAGGTGCCATTCCTCCTGAAGCACTCTTGCTATTCATTACATCAAGCAGACCTTTCACTTTTCGGCAAAAATTTTTTGTTGGTTCACAATCTTCTAATTGTGGATGCTTGTTTTGGGAAACTTCCAAAACATCAGCAATTTCGAAAAACTGCAAAAGTTAAAACAAAATACCAATATAAAACAGACGTCTTTAATTGCAATGAAAAAATAGAAAACTTTATTTCACCTGAAACGCTAAAGCCACATTCATTTTGTGATAAAATTTTGTCTGTAAATGGTCTTGCGTTAATTTACAATTAACCTTGATGGCAGAAGATAAAGTGTCTTCAACATCTAAAATTGTGTACCATACGTTCAAAGCAACCAGACCATCAGGTGTCTGAAAACATTTTAGAACAAGTATTTAATAATACGAAATGGTATAAAATATGTATAAAAATAAAACTAAGAATTTATTTATAATTTGTAAAGGGGAAATTGATCTATTTATTTAAATTAACAAACGGACTTGCACCGTTTCCCCTAAATTATTTCTATTACTCTGATTCACAAATACGAACAATAACTCTTTAAAAAGACTAAAAACCTCATAAAAGGGGAATCCCGCTGAGAAGATCTCGTCGCGGTGCAACGACCTTCGACTTAGAACCAAAACTGCAATGTACTTACAAACCAACGACGCTTCACTCCAAACGGCTTGGCGGGAAACGGCTCGTTCACCAAATAAGAATAAATAAATTATTTGAAAATAATAAAACTAATTTATTCAATTGCTGGAACTAATATACACTTTTCCAAATAAATATTATTAACTAATTTTAACAAAAAGAAATAATAATTAACTCGCGCTATTCGCCTCACGCACACTCTATCTCAAAATCAGGAGCGATCAGAAACGCGTCTGTTTCGATCACTTATCGCAAATTCTCTGGTTGAACGAACGATGCATTCTTCCTGGAAACCGGTGCACACGCATTCGAATTCATTCGTCTCTTTTATTTTCATACGATTATCCTAATCAGTTCTCCTTGTCGTCTCCTTCCAGTGCGAACCTACAGAAATTAGGAAAGGGTCGCTAAACACGTGACTCCTGAAAACTATCAATCATGCGCAAAGACATTTGATAGAAACCTTGGTGAGAGACACCGCTGAACGACAACGAGCGAAGAATTTGAATGAAAAACCCTAATGCGATAACACACAGGCTTGCTTCAGAAAGCAACACACTAACCAAAATACGCTGAACTCTTATTGATTTAGCAGGAGCTTGATAAAAAAGTTTCTCAGACATTTTACTAAATGAGGGAAGTCTGAAATAAAGCACAATCTTCGGTTTACGTCCGCAATGTGCACAATACTGACCATACTCTCTGAGACTCCAAAAATTTTCCACATCGCATGATTCCACGAAGCACCATCGGATGTAATCAAATCGATGCGTAAACCAGCGTTCTCAGCTAACAAGATACATTCAATCAACAGTTTATGCAAAACTGTACTTGTTGCGCTTTCTTTAGAAAGAAAGCAACCCAAAGTTTGAATTTCGCCAGTCATAAAGGACTGAAATATAAAAATCAAAGCATGGTCGCCTAGCTCTGATTTTTGATGCTCAGGTGGGTGTTCACCTAGGTTTGTAAAGCCTTCAAACTGTAGGTTCATTTTGTTGAATGTTAAAGATGTCGATAACTTCATCTGATCCAATAAACTGGCACCTGCAATAAGGAATGCATCATAAAAAATATTCAACTTTTTAATTAAAATTGGATAAATGTTTAAACATACCATGTCGATGTTTTGAATCCATTTTCTCCGTTTTTAATTTTAAAGCGCTGAAAACGCTTTCTTGAAAGCCATACGTGCTTTTGATTTGCTTCATGTTTCTTCCTAAAGTGGATGTGGAATGCACAACTAAAATTTGGTGTTTACGGATGTGCTTATACGCTTTTCTACTTTTTATCCTCAATGATATGCATTCGTAGAGCCATTGTCTGCATACATACTTTTAAATATATTCTTCCGTTTTTAACCAATCTTTTTACTTTCTTATTGACATTTTTAAACTTTTTTCGCAAGGAATGTGTAGTAGTCTTCTTTTCAGTATGCACTGCTTCTTTTCTTTTTTGTAACTGCTTCCGATGTTTGGAACATGCTTCACAAAAAATACTCTTACGACCAGGAATGCTTACATCTTTTCGTAAAATGCATCCTAAACATTTATCAGTTCTGTAAAGATAATTTTAATTAATATTGCAAATAGAATATAATATTAGTTACGAGAAAAACTATTTCAGATAAATTAACTTTTCACTTTCATCACAACGAGCAATTTTATCAACTTCCTTCAACAATAAAACAATATCGTCCACATCGTTATAATTTTCAAATTTTGGTAACTTTATTTCTTTTTTACCAAGAAGGACCTAAAAATATAAATTTATGAGTTACAACTTTGTACATTTGAAAAAAAAATTTATAAAAATTAACATCTTCCATTAAGGGGACTTTCTGGTTTAGAATTGACAAAAAAGGAAGGTTTTAAAACTTTTATTGTAAGAACAGTATTAAAGAAATTGTAAAAACTATTTTTGGACATTGTAGCACATTGCGTAGAGAAAATTTAAAAAATATGTTTGAGTGTATTTAGTTCAATTTCATAGCTGTAGGTGGCGTCTTCCAAAAGATACCTTTTTTTTGGTACGTTAGATTCCGGGCAACCTGTAATACATAAATTCAAGTTCCAAACGGGAATCTCTTCATAAGGATTTATTCTTGTGCCTAAACCTCAAAAACGATTTTTTTTAAAGGTTTTTTTATTTTATATGTACATTTTTCTCAAAAACTCGCAAAAACGCAGTGTTTTTGGGTCAATTTACCTCCATATAAAAACACAGGCGGTAGAAATATGAGTTTTTAGAGGTTTAGGCACCAGTTTTTTAAATAAAGAATCGAAAAATTTTTGGAATTTCAAAATCGGTTCAGTAGATTTCGAGAAAAGCTCTGTACCAGTTTGAAAAATGAGTTTTCGAGAAAAACGCGTTTAAAGTTTTCATAACATAATTCATTGAGTCATGAATATCAAACAACTTTTTATTACAACAGAACTTCGTATCCCGCTGTTTTTGGGGTCGCTGATTACGAATTTGATGTCCGTTTTGGAAAATCCAAAATGGCGGATCCAATATGGCGGACGAAAAAATAAAAATTCAACCGGATTTGCTTAAAACTTGCTACTCGGGGGTTTTTGGGGTCGCTGATTACGAATTTGATGTCAGTTTTTTAAAATACAAAATGGCGGATCCAATATGGCGGACGAAAAAATAAAAATTCAACCGGATTTGCTTAAAACTTGTTACTCGGGGGTTTTTGGGGTCGCTGATTACGAATTTGATGTCAGTTTTTGAAAATACAAAATGGCGGATCTAATATGGCGGACGAAAAAATAAAAATTCAACCGGATTTGCTTAAAACTTGCTACTCGGGGGTTTTTGGGGTCGCTGATAATGAATTTGATGTCAGTTTTTGGAAATTCAAAATGGCGGATCCAATATGGCGGACAGTATTACTTTCAAAATTGATAATGAAGTATTTGATTCAAACGCAATGCTTTAAGATTTTGAACATATGCTATTCATTCAACAATATCTGCTTTTGGCAGCTCGCAATAGCATATCTTTAGATTCTATAGCATTTTTTTTCAGTGCATATGTATTTAAAACGTTCCTAGAACGTTAATGTTTTGTGCCTATATTCATAACTAGCAATCTCAAAAGGCCACAAGTAACCATTTTCAACTAAATTTAATTAATTTCTTAATCTTTGTCCGCCATATTAGATCCGCCATTTTGTATTTTCAAAAACTGACATCAAATTCGTAATCAGCGACCCCAAAAACCCCCGAGTAACAAGTTTTAAGCAAATCCGGTTGAATTTTTATTTTTTCGTCCGCCATATTGGATCCGCCATTTTGTATTTTCAAAAACTGACATCAAATTCATAATCAGCGACCCCAAAAACCCTCGAGTAACAAGTTTCAAGCTAATATCAATAAAAGAGGAACACCAAATATGTAAATAAGATAACTGTAGATTGTTGTTGAAATACATACCGTCATAAATATTGTTATAACTTTTGTTTTTGTACATATTTTTTAAAAATCGTTTTGGGACAGTAATTCTATGATACTAAGGAACATTTTTAAGCAAAAAAAAATCGATTTTTTTGAAATTCTAAACCAGAAAGTCCCCTTAAAGAAAAATCTACATTTATTGTTTTGTTTGAATTTATCACGGTGAGTCTCGATAAAGTTCAACACAAAAGTCTTGCCACTAAAACTTTTTTTACGCCTAAAATGAAAATCATCTGTCGAGGGTTTTTAAAATGAACTCGATTTTTCTCGTTTTTTTGTAGGTTAATTCCTGTTATTTCATTAAAAATTGAGATATTAAATTTATTTATTTTATTTCTCTCCTTTAACCACTTGAGCGGCAGGGCGTCAGAATTGGCGTCGAGCGTAGAAGTGACAGAAGCGACAGAAAGGCGTCAAGACTTGACTCCATTTTTCTAATTCTGTAAGGATATTTATAATATCAAAATAAAGTATTCTTTTTTTTAAGATAAAAGAACAGACTTATGACTTCTTTAATCTTAAAAAAAACAATACTTTATTTTGATATTATAAATCTCCTAACAGAATTAGAAAATCGGAGTCAAGTCTTGACGCTTTTCTGTCGCTTCTGTCACTTCTACGCTCGACGCCAATTTTAGGCCAATTTTAGGCGAAAAATATTTTAATTTCACGTGTGAACAAATATTTGTAAAAAAAATTTTAGTGTCAAGACTTTTAGGTTGAACTTTATCGAGACTCACCGTGTTTACCCTTATTTTTTTTAAAAAATCACTTTTGTCAAAATATGACGACCATTGGATAAATGAATCAACACTATTTACAAACCAATATTCCGATGGTAATGGAATCTTGTCAGCTAATTTTACTATTTTTTTAAAGTTTGTTTCTGATCCATTTAAGAGCATAAATGTGTTGATGTCTTTCTGAGTATCATCGCGCGTTTTTTGAAGCATTGCTTCTTCAGCCATTTCGTCAACTTTTTGGTAAGTTAAAGCGGAAAAATGTTTTGAAATTGCTCCTTTTTTAAAAATTGCTCTTTCTCGCTTTTATCTGTGTTCCGGCCCATCCGTCATGTTTGTTACAAACTCTGTTTGTGACGAACCGACTTCGTCACATTTATACCTATGGGAAAATGAAAATACTTAAACTTAAACAACACAAAACCACACAAACATTAAATCATTAAAACATTTATATTAATATTAAGAGAAAAGAAATAAGATTCAACATATTAAGAATGTAACACATCTTTCAATAATAACGTGGCTTTACGTCTACACATTTCACATAATTGAAGTCATTGACCTTTTTGGATTGTAGTTCCACAATATCTAAGAACTTGGTGATTAAGTTCAATAAACTAAACTCACGCCACTGTCAAAATGCAACTATGCAAAAATGCACCGGTCGGTGACCGGGTGTTGCTAATTAAAATGACGATTTCCTCATACGATCTTCGGTGTACGAAATCGATCGTAAAGTGGAAATCGGGGAGATGGCTTAAGACCTTCCTGAGGGAAGGTTTTGGAGAGTGTTTTTAAAGTATTTGAGACCTGAAATAAATAGGTCGTTTGTAAACTTTAGAGAATAGAATTTGATAAATATAATTAGAACAAAGTGAATACAATCTAAAGAATCATTTTATGTGAAAGGAAATACGTAAAACCAACATTTATTGAGAGAGAGAGAGAGAAAGTGATTAGGAAAAAATAAAATAAACCCAAGGAGTTTAATAAATACATACAAATAAAGAAAAGGAAATAAATAGAAGGAATATAATAAAGGTTTACATAAAACTAAAGAAAACTATCAAGTGAGTAACATTGATTTCTGTCATAACACATACACTACTCAATTTACAGTCACACATACAAGTATAATTAGTAAATGAACAATTTGTAATAAAATTATATTGTTTCCTAAAACCTATTTGGGAAAAGTTAAGTGGGAAAATGGCAATCCTTGTATTTAACTTTGTGATATAATATACTTTGTTATTGAAGATAATTGTTTTAATTCATTTAATCACTACTTCCTGACAATAGGGTTACACTACCTCTAAAATAGGGATTCTCACCCCATTGGCTGAAACAATAGTCAATTTGGAGGGGGATCCTCTACCAAAAACTTTAAAGGTGTCAGGTTTACTGAGTAACATTTCACCTTTAATTTTATTGTTAATTAATTAAATTATTATTTCAATTTTAATTTATTACACTGTTATAACATCGCTCTCTTCAAAATGAAGATCACAGATTTTATTTTTCACTACCAGGAATTGCTTTCCTCCACTTCGATAACATGTCCTCCTATAATTGATAAATAAACATTGATAATTCATATATAAAAACAGAATTTATAAAACCGCTGCCAAGTTGTATATTTTTTTATAATTTTGGTGCTCATTTTATGAACACTTTACTTCCTCATAGAGATAAAAATAATAGAAATATATGAATAACTTTTTATAAATATGGTAAAAGTGATTGAATTTTGGGTAAATCAATGTATTTTTAAATACCCTACAAGATAGTTACAATAATTTAATAGTTAAACAACAATTTTTAAACAAAAAAGTTGAGAAAATGTCATTTTTCACAATTTTTGGTTTTTAAAATACCAATAATTTCGAAATTTATTATCGAATTAGGTTCAAAAATAGGTCAAACGAAACGTTTTTTAATGCTCTACAAATTGATAACGATAATTTCAAAGTTACTTCTACGTTTTTCAACAAAATTTTCAAAAAAGTCTTATTTTACAAAATTTTTGATTTTTAAAAGTTCAATAACTCCGGTTAATATGGACGAAAAATGTTCAATTAAGGCTCAAAAGATGCGTCTAAAAAAACTCTACAAAATTATGAAAAAACATTTATAGGTGTCCTAACATTTTTTTAAAGTTATAGGTAAAAAACGTTTTTTTGCAAAATTAAAAATCTAAAAAAAATTAGTTAAAAACTTTATTAATCTAGTATCTCAAAGTACTCTCATCTTTTGTCCGCAGGTGAGATCTACAATTTAAAAAAAAAATTCAACCCAAAAGGTCTTTATGAGCTTACGGAATGACATTTTTTAAAAATGTCATTTTTGAACTCCTGAGGTCAAATAACATAAAGATATGTCACAAATGTCACAAATGATGTCAAGTTTTTGGGGGGAGGGGGGTCTCTACTAAACGTGACACAATGTATTTTTACATGTGAAATTGCTTGAAATTGCGTGACATCATTT